CTGAAAATTTTTTTCTTTGTAGACACATGCTAGATGTATCTACAAAATTAGCAGATTAATTTAGAAAACCAATCTACCAATTACCATGTTGCGTATCCGTTCGACATCATACAATTTGATATCTTTTGTTACGCCACGTGTCTTGAAGTTTGGATGGTCTTGATAGATCAAATTGTTGATGATGATGATTCCGATCTCGTCGGGGGAAGTACTTCGTTCGGGTCGTATCCCCCTATAGCCGAAGTCATTGAAGTATCCCTTGTCGTAAAATCAACTTGAGGTGATGAGGGCTCCAATCCGTCGGAGAACGCACTTCGCTCGAGTCGTATCCCCGTACAGCCGAAGTCGTCAAGTAGTTTGTTGTCGGAGAATCCATCTCTTGAACTCATCTCGCTGAAACCTTGAAGCACCAAAATCCCCTACCAGGCGTGCCACTGTTGTCATTTTAGGTCACGACTACGGTATTTGTATGATATAGGGATCACTGGCACCAGGGTATATGCGAGATTGAGGTAAGAGAGATAGAGACAAGGATTTTTATACAGGTTCGGGCCCCTTCATAGGAAGGTAACAACCCTACTCCTGTTGGTCGAAGCCAGTGTTACTCTTTATTCATCTGAATCACACAAGTACAATAATTAGGATAACCTATCTAGCTGTCATCGACTTGGCGGCATGGATCACCAACACATAGTCGATGACAGGGTAGTCTTCCTCCTTGAATACAAACTCGTAGAGATAAGAGGTGGCGCTAGATCCCTCTTGTCGGCCTTCGTAGGCACCAGATTGGATCTGTCTAGGCTTATCTCTGATGTTGATGTTTGGCGGAGTATTGGTCTGTTATGGCTTGTGTGTCTCTCCCCCTACGGGGTCTTATATTTATACCCATAGATATTCCCTTGACCAAGTAAAACTAGTGAGACCAATATGGATACAATCCAAGTAGTCCTTATAGTTTCCATATAGAACTCTACTTGTCCTTCCTTATCCGGAACCCCTTCTACATACGAGGTATGATTCCGTATAAGACTTGGCATATGGTGGGCCCCACTGAGCTTAGTTGATTACAATTGGGTATGTTGTATCCATAACCATGACAGTTTGATCCTGCAACTGACAAGATATACAAATAACAGAACAATGAGCCAATCGGCTGACAAGCCGATAGAGTCATTTCAGTCGATGCCGATACTAGTCAGTGCCGATACCAGCCGATGTTGATATGGTTTTGAGCGATCGGCTATATGTCCAATATAGATTATGATACTTGAATAAATAATGGTATAAATACAATCTGCTGATAATAATGTAATGAAACAATAATATAATCCAGTAGAAACCAATTGTCTAATAATAACATGATAGTACAAGTGTTGATCCAAAGGTTAAAGCATACTTCGGCTGGAGGTTCGATGTCATAAAATACAAATGACTAGATAAACAGTAAAATCTTTGTTGCGATCGACTAAATCCAACTTGTATGTAATCCTTATAAGCCGATGCAACGTCCAGATAACTCATCGGCTGAAACCCCGATGAAACCCTTATTGGCAATCAAAAAGCAGGCTAGAGATTATGGTTCTAATCATAGCTAGGGCTGATGCAGCGCAAAGTATGAAAAAAAACATAATATACAATCACTACAAGAAATGTCATCTTCTGTGACGAATTCCTCGTGACAATGGTGCTTTTCGTCACTATGCCATTTCGTTTTATGACGTTTGATAGGGGGTGGTGCTGGTTAGTGACAAAAATGGGGTGGTCGTCACTAAGATCAAATACAGATCGTCATAAACTTGTCTAATGGTGTATTGTGACTGTTATTATTTTGTCATCAGAGACCAACCAACAAAAGTCACAAGTTCCTAACAATGTTCGTTTATCATACGTTTTTTTCTTTTTAAAATTGATGAATGCTTGAACTGCCCTTTGTAACGCCCTAAATAATTGTCACATCCTGATAAATTCACCCAAATTAAAAATTGTTCTCTAAAATGAATAATATAATTAACTAAAATCCTAAAAGTAAATGGCAAACACTAAAATACATGTAAGAAAAAATTTGATTGTGGCCCAAAGTATTTTTCATAAATTCTCCTCGGTCTAAAATATGTCCTGGATGTTTACTTGAATTTTCAAAGCACCGAAATATTTACTAAGCAACAAAAACAATTAACAGAATTTATTAAAAAGAAAAACTAAAAACAATCCTCTTTTGTCATTTGGGCCAAATCCGTACCAAAGTCTGATTCAAATTCCCGCCAGCCCGCTCGGCCTTTTTCCTCCTCCCATTCCCTTCCCTCTCCCTCCTTTCTCCCACGGCCCACCTCGGCCCAAGCTGTGCAACCCTCCTCTACTCCTCCATGGGCCGCGGGAATAAGTTCACGTTAGGTCCCTCTATTTGACGCCTAGTCTGATTTTCATTCCTGAACCGAAAAACCGGGTAGGACTCGTCCCCCAACTTACGAAAACCAGGCAAACTAGGTCCCTCGACAGTTTTGATAGCGGTTTTAGCTAATGTGGCGCCTACGTGGCTAATTTGACTCGGTCTTCATCTGACATGGCACTGACGTGGCAATTCATTCCCGAAAAATAATAAAACCAGTGGGACCCACATGTCAGTTCACACACAAAATAATAAAAAAATGGTGGGACCCACATGGGCCCACCTGTCATCCTCACTCCTCCCTCCTCTCTCTCTCTATCCTCTCTGTCCCCTCTTCTCTCTATCCCTTCTCTCTCTCCGGCCGGCAGGAACGGGCAACGGGCGGGACGGAGCGGCTGGCTGGCGGAGCGGGGCGGGGCAGCGGCTGACGGCGGGCTAGGTCAAGTCTGCGGTGCGCGGGGCCATAGAGCGCAGACGGCGGCGACTGCCAGTGGTTGTGGAGAAGGGCGTCGGCGGCATCGGCGGGAGCATCTCCTCCGGTCACGCCTCATTCCCCTTCTACGCCAAGATTGAGCCACTGCGAAAGAAGGCACACCTACTTGACCAGGAGAACAAGGCTCTCCTTGCCAAGGTCAAGCTCAATAACAAGCCATCCGCCACCTCCCCGTCCTCCCAGAAAAGTCACAAGCTACGCTCTTGGCCAACGGTGAGAGGTTGCAGGCTCCGATCCATTTCAGACAAATACAAAAAATAAACTTAAACCTATCTAGCACCACAAGCTACATGCTCCATCAACTGCAAAAAAAAACAAAAAACAAACGACCTAAAATGCTCAAATCAACAAACGACACAAAATGCAAAAATCACATGAAGCTCATCCGCACCTAGTCACGGCTGCAGGAGCCGCCATTTGTGCACCGCCGATATAAGCAAAAGCCGCCTTAACCACGTCGCCGACCGCCATAGAACCCGTCATAGCTGCCTCACCGACCACGGTGCAGCCACCGGCAACAAGAATCGATGTCAAATACATCTCCCATCGAGTATCGCAGGGCTCCTCGGCGTCAAGGTGGCCGCGGTGGAGACGGCCTCCTGCTATCGCCCGCCACGGCCTCCCACGGCGGAGACGACCACTGAGAAGCAAGAGGAGAGCTACGAGGCGATGGTGGAGGCGCAGGCGGCAGCGGCGGAGGTGGCGAGGGTGGTGGTGGAGGTGGAGTTGGTAGCGGCAGTTGCGGCGGAGTCGTGGTGGTGGTGCTGGAGAGAGAAGAGAGAGGAAAGGGGACATATATGATGAGGAGATGGGGAGAGAGGAGGAAGAAAGGAGTGACGATGACAGGTGGGGGCCCATGTGGGTCCCACCGTTTTTTATTATTTTGTGTGTCAAACTGACATGTGGGTCCCATGTGTTTTATTATTTTTCGGGAATGAATTGCCACGTAAGCGCCACGTTAGATGAAGACCGAGTCAAATTAGCCATATATGCGCCACGTCAACCAAAACCGCTATCAAAACCACAGAGGGATCTCGTTTGTCCGGTTTTCGTATGTTGGGGGACGAGTTGTACCTGGTTTTGTGGTTCAGGGACGAAAGTCAGACTGGGCGTCAAATCGAGGGACCTAAAGTGAACTTATTCCTGGGCCGCGCTCCAACCAACCAGAAGTTCATTTTGCCTCCCTCCTCTCAATTAATTTCAAAATATTAGAACTTCAAATCGAATTTTATCATACTAAATGAACTTATGTGAAAAAAATGTCAAAAAAAAAGTTATATAACTTATTGAGATCTACCAATTTTATTTTGGTTATTTCTCCATCTAAGTTTGATTGACCTATATAAAATTTGAATTTTAAATTATGACAACTTCAAATAACATTTTCAAATACTAAATCATTTCAACTAAAAAAGTCATCAACAACAAAGTTGTACAAATCATCAATATCTACAACTTTTGTTTTGGTCATTTTGCTATATCACTCTGTTTCAATAATTTGAATTTGAATTTCAAATTATGACAACTTCAAACAATATTTTCAAATACTAAATGATTTCAACTGAAAAGGTCATCAACATCAAAGTTGTATAACTCATCAGTATCTATAACTTTTATTTTGGTCATTTCTTCATCCGACAAAGTGATAGTAACATTGTTTATAAAATTTACATATCTCTCCTATAGTTTATAAACTATATAAGAGATTTGTACATTTTGTGAATAATGTTATAAATCACTTTGTCGGATGAAGAAATGGCCCAAATAAAAGTTATAGGCCTTGATGAGTTATAGCACTTTGTTATTGATAACTTTTTAGTTGAAATCATTTAGTACTTGTAAAATGTCGTTTGAAGTTATCATAATTTGAAATTCAAATTCAAATTGTGCATACAAAGTCATAGAAAAATGATGAAAATAAAAGTTGTAGATCTTGATAAGTTATACAACTTTGTTATTGACAACTTTTCCATTTGAAATCATTTACTACCTGAAAGGTTTTCTTGAATTACTTATATTTTAAAATTCAAATTTTATATAGTTAAATCAAAATCGAATGGCGAAATGACCAAAATAAAATTGGTAGATCTCAATGAGTTATACAACTTTGTTTTTGACAACTTTTTCACATAAGTTTATTTAGTATGATAAAATTCGATTAGAAATTTTAATATTTTGAAATTATTTTTTTCCCTCCTCCATTCAATTTTTTTCCTCTCCTCTTCTATCTCCCCTCCTCTCCTGATATTTTAACTTCCACCGTCCTTATCCTATCCTATCCTCTCCTATCAGCCTCTCACTCTTTCCTCCTCTCCTCTCTCTCTCACCGACGGGAGCTGTGCGGCGTGGCGGGCTCGGCGGCGACCCGCTCGGCACCGGCGGCGGCCTTCGTTCCCCGACCTCCCATGCGCGGCGGTGGCCTCCCTTCCCCGACGGCGGCGGGCGGCGGGCTCGGCGACGGCCTGTGGCGGCGGATCCGGCGGCGCCGTCCTTGGGAGGGCCGGATCCGCCGCCCTACCGAGGAGCTCGGCACGCGGCGGGCACGGAGACGGCCGGCGGCGGCGACCCTCCCCCCTCCTCAATGCCGCAGCCACATCCCCGATCCACGCCGCAGCAGCCGCATCACCGGCCTGCCCTCCATCGATGGCTGGAGGAGGCGAGGTCGGGCCTTCTCTTCGGGGGCAGCAGGGAGGTCCGGAGGTAGTGCGTCCGCGTCGCAGTCCCCTGCCGCATCGGTGACTCAGCGGCGGCGTCGCGGCGAGCCGCTGGGCAGGAAGGTGCTCAAGTGGCTTCCCGTGGAGCGCCGTGTCACGACCCAAATCCGTTGGCGAAGCTCACCGGAGTTGAGGGACCGATCGATTGCTTGGAAGATGGGAAGAACAGAAGGGAAGCGGAGGAGGAAGGAAGACAAGACAGAGTTGGTAGGAGGGATTGTTTTTCTATTTTTCATCATAGTTGTTTTGGGACAGCTCATTGAGGTTATATTCCCCTCCCGATCTGACCACGCAGGGCCCACACACCATGTGACACACACACCAACTCCTTTATTACATAAATACGCTTTCTCCCACATAATTACGCTTTCCTCCATTGCTTAACGCCTTTAAGCTTTACGCCTTCTCCTGTTCCCTGTCCATTGTCGCAGCTTCAGAGTCTGTCAGAGAGGCGGTCGTGACACGCCGATGGGTCGAGCACTCATCCGCCATCATCGAGCCACAACAGTAAGCTTTAATCTCTATCTGTCTCTGTTGAATGATGGTTGATCCTACGATTCATCCGGTAGCACTGTTCCCTCGATCTGCAAGTTCTGGATGCATTTACTTGCGTATGATGATACTTAGATCAAAGTACAGTTGCAACTCCTCTCAGCAATGGTAATTCTTGGCATGTGTACTTAAGTCTTATTCCCCTGTCCTACAGAAAGTAAATCAATTTATGTAGCAGAGCTTTCTTGCCACGCTACATAGGTAGAGACTAAATATTCTGAACTTGTTTCATTGCATATTCATTTGGAGCTGTAAGTTTCTGATGAAAAGAGAAGGATGCAAGCTTGCAGTTGCTCTGTTGCAGATATGAATTGCAAGCTACAGAAGGTTGTGTGCCACTGCGTTCAAAGATCCCATAGACTAGAAAGATAAGTGTCATTTTCCCACCTTCTTACTACCTTTTCCTATTCTTGAACACAAACATTTGCTACCTCAAAATGATTTTTATTCATGTGATCCCTAAGAATATTGGCATGCAGTCTGCATACATTAGATGCTTACACCAATACTTTAATTAGTAGTTATTAAGAACCACCTGTAAACAAATTACATTCATGTAGGTGATGACTGATGAATGAGAGTGAGTGCATCATGCACTGTGCATGTTCATGCTCAATTTCTGGGCAAAGAGATCAACTTGCATCTGGCAATCAAACTAGATATCTATTCCATTATCTAAACATCTTGCCATGAGCTAATCTGCTAAAACAGAGAAGTAATCTGCTACTTCTACTGTATCTTCTTTCACACTGTAATTCATTTAGTTCAGTTCAGTGCGCTTTACAGAAGCAAGCAATTTAGCATTCAGCATTTCTGCTTCAATTAGCTGGTGAAGAATCTGATCCTGATCAGAGGCTACCCTTTAGACTTTAGCTTGCTGGTTTGATTCCAATCCTTGGTTGGATGAGTGGTCCAAATTTACCCAGTTCCACCAGTAGTTTTAACTTAGCCTGAAATTAATTAACTTAAGAGTTTCTTTCCTGTAGTGATAAAGCTGCATCCAGTACTGCATTTCTCTGTACTTCTCTCTCTACTGTATACTATGTCAGCTTGTTGAGAACTAGATTAGATTTCTCTCCTCTGTATACTGCATTTCAGTACTGCATTTCTCTGTACTTACAATGATGTCTGTTGGGTAGGATCTTGTAAAGGGTAAAGATACATTGATGCCATTGGTTGATTTTCAAGAGAAGAAATGTACAGGATGGAGGCAGCTGAAGATTTTGCCATCTGGAGTGGTGAAATATCTCAGAAATACATGCTATGAACATTTGGCAACCTTAGAATCAGATATCTTTGCTAGTTTGATACAACATATCCTTGTAGGTGATTGTTGATGGTGCATGCAGTTTGTTGAAACCTTTGTTTTTTTCGGTTTGTAAGACTTCTGTAATGGTGCATTATCAGAAGAACCAGTTGCTATATGGGTTGTAACCTTTGTGCTATATGGGTTGTTATTGTGTTTGATTGCTAGGCCTATATGGGCTTAGCCCACTTGTTATTTGATACTAATATGATGGGTTGAAAATGGTGTGGTATAATGTTTGGGCTTATATGGGCTTTTGCAATGGACTTGGCCTATTTATTATTTGATATTAAAGCAAATGGATATAATAAAATTGGGCTGAAAATATGCTACATCATAGATGGGTCAGGCTAAAATCTAGTTGGGCATGCCATTGGGCTAAGCCCATAAACAGGGTGCTCAATACATGGATTTTAATGGGCTATCTGATATTTTGTGACGTTTTTTAGGCTAGATAATGACGAATATAAGCGTCACAAAGTTATGACGACAGAAGGATCGTCACTAGATTAATGACGAAAAAAATAAGGTTTTGTCATAGAACGCTATTAGAGACGCATGATAGGTGACGAATGAATTTTTGTCACACGAGCGTCACAGATTACAAAACGTGACGAAAAATTCAATGTTTGTGACGTAAATGAAGCGTCATCTATCATAAGATATCTTGTAGTGAATCATGCTCTTGACTGATTTTCAGGGTGGTAGATACTTTAGCTAATCTAATTTGGTAAAGCAATTTAGCCGGTTCCGGTATAAACCCTAAAACGAATCTTAGCCGATACAAGTAAATTGAACTACCAAACTAGATTAACAAAGATATATGGTAGATAGGTGCTTACATTGACAAGATCAGAGTGTTGAAGCCCTATCCCCGCCGATGAAAAGAATAAATTCGTTGAAAAAGTAGAAAAGTAAAAAAAGGTGGCGATGCGCCGAATTTGTATTGATCGTGGAGATAAATTACAATCACCCCGGGTGTACATATTTATACCCATAGGTAGATATTGGTCCTTGTTAGACGAGAAAGAAACTTTCCTAAAGATAAAAGGAAAACATAAAGTCCTTATCGGACACTAAACATAATTTCCTAAAGATAAAAGGAAACTAACAAACTCATCCTAATTAATAGATAAACTACCTTACCGCATCCTCTTTGAACTCGGTCTCTTCTGAATGAACTTCCTTTAATTGATTAATTTCCTTAACTGAATATAGCATTAACCCGACTATTGGCGACTTGATAATTTCCATCGGCCGATTCCAGGACTCTGAAGCCGATAATGACTCTAGGCCGATGATGACTTTGGGGGCTTACCAAATTTCACTGTTAACACTCGCGCGCCATCCCGTCCCATCCCGTTCCCGAGCAAGGGAATCAACAGCCAAGAGCATCGCCTCGGTCCGCTTCATATCCTCAGTCCGCTTCATCATCAACTCCACTATGATCGAATGTTAGCCGATAGTACACCCGTCTATAAAATCCTCTCATGCTTCTGTTTGCCTTGCATCTTCCTCCCATCCTCCTTGCTTGCTTTCTCTAATTTTGGTTCACTTCAGAATGCAGTACTATTGTGAAATTTTTGTTCCTCCCATGCCCCTTTGTTATTTGTGTATCTCCCTCATCTCTCCTCCCTTTTAAATTAAATCATAATTGCTTCTTGCCTTTTCTAATCTTGGTTTTCTTCAGATTGTAGGACTATAGCTATGAAATTTTGTTATCATTCTGTCTCTACTTTCTGTGTACATTTTGATTTGGCTACCTGTGTGGGGGACGTCAAGGTAAATTCTAATGTCCATTTTTATTTCAGGTGTAAGAATCATCCCTATGAAAGGCATTGTGTTATTCTGGAGCAATTGATCAAGTAATTCATTACTCTAGGGACTAGGGTGGTTTCATCCATATGTATATATGAAATTGCAAAGCTGCCCATCATTATTTTGCTACATATATTCAGATAGCTAGAGATATTGTAAAACAATTCCTTATATGTCTTTGATACTTATATTTTGTGAATTAAACCCTTCATCGCCATGATCTATTAGGTGCATTTTGTTTTTCCATAATAAAACACTAAAATTTGAATTGGTTCAGTTCATCACCAGACCACTAGATGGAAGGAATAAACCAAAGTCAGTCTCTTGCTCTTCAGACTTACATTTGATGGAACTATGGAAGGGCTTTAATATCTTACATGATCTTGCTGGTATGTAAACTTGATTTTAGCTAGTAAATGTATGTTTTCTCAATGGTTACAGCAACTGCATGGACCATCAGCATTTGGTCTAATGGATCTCCCTCATGGAGTCATGGGATGGATTGACATCTGTTTATCCAAACAATTCAAGTGATTATAGCTTTACCTAGCAATGTGATGTTTACCAAATTAGTGAGAATCATTTTCTTTAATTTATGATTAAAATCAACTATACAATTTATCACATTTTTCCTTCCTAACATGTGATTTAGTCTCTGAACAATATAGCTGCCTGTCAAGTTATCAGTGGCCATGTTAGATTGCTTATATGGCATATTATATCCCCATCAACCTGTAGAATTACTTCAGTTCATTGGCTTTTTTATATAAAAAATTTGTTTCCTAATCCGACAATATGTTAAGTGTTCCGTAGCAATGCGCGAGGTACCATCTAGTTTACATTACATAGTGGTATCTGGGTCTAAATGTCATTTAGGAAACTCTTTCAATCTTTCATCGGAGCACTATTGTTTGCAGAAATCACATATAGGTCCTCAGCATATTTGGCAGTGATAAGTATATTTGCAACATGTACCCTATCCTTTTCGGTATTTGCAAGATGAAGTTCAACTTCTTCAACATACAGGCTGGTATATGTCAACTTATGTAAACTAATGAATAAATATCAACATAGGAAACTATGGCGCATACCATCACCTAAATTATTGTGCCAACTAGTGAATACTGACCACCCTTAAAGCCATTAGTAGGATGCTTATTTCTATCTCCTTTGTCGGTGAAGTCCTGTCCTCAAACACTGGTATTAGACCTTTGTCGGTGAAGTCCTGTCCATAAAAGATATAGTACATCATTGTTTTTTATAGTTTAGGTTTGATACATAAGCATCCCTCTGTTTCGTAGTCTTTCACTTGAGGAAGTTACTAGGGCCAATGTCCTTCAGCGCACAGATCTGCTCCTCCCCATGGCGGACATGACAGTCACAACAACATCCTTGCCTTCACCAAATCCAGTCTTGATCTGGCCCAGGAGATTGTCATAAGTTGGGAGTCCAAGATCATCCTTAGTGTTACCGCTCTCAGTAAGAAGGCTCACGAATAATCCATCCTCTGATATGTCAATCAGCTGGTAATTTGTACGGTTCATGTGGAACATCACAGTTGTGGGATGAAGGAACAATATCCTTGGCAACAAAGTGACACTTGGCATGACCGTGCTTACTAGTCTTCGAGGTAGAAACCTCCACCACCTTGCAGGGGCGGTTCTTAATAACGATGTACCCATTCTTGCGGATGGTTCCAGCCTCGGCCTTCGACTAAAAGTGGTGCTCCTCGGAGTCCGACATGGCGATCTTGGCGAGCCCCCTTGTTTGGATAGATCGCTAGTTCATGATTGTTGAATGTATACTTAGCGACCACATCTTTCATGGCAACATTTGTACAAGACTAGGATGATCCCAGATCACCTGCAACGCAACTATTTCTATCATCTACTGGCAACTCAATAGATGACATTAACGCAACTATTTTTATCATCTACTGGCAAACCAACTATTACACACCCCAAATTTAAATTTATCATTTGGTTTCCTCCAATATCTCTCCAATCGCTAATTATACCCTCTAAAACAAAAACATATGGCTTATTATTATTCTCAACCAATAACTTAGAGAAACTGTTTATTTATAACATGTTGCCCGTTGCCATCCTGCAGCAGCATGATATAAGTCATGCAAACAAACTTGATCAGTTCTGAATGGCTTTCACAAAGTTTACATGTAGGGCATGTGCAATGCGCCGTATTTCTTGATATCATGTAGCAAGCATTAACACGTACCAAGCAAATCTCGTGTCATGTCTAACAACCATTAACACGTAACAAACTTTAACCGCCAAGCTCACTTATTTGTTTCAAAATAGCTGTCAACTATAGATGAACGGAGGGAGTACCACATTAGACCTTTAAATTTAAATTTTAGGACTAAATCAAGACAAAAGCATGAGTAATGAGCAACTAGAAGTATCACATGTCGAGCCACCCATCACACTCAACAACAAAAAGCCATCCATCGGCCAGCAAGGAAAAGTCGGTCACATCTTGTACTAGCAGTGTATGAAACATATGTAATTATTATTCTCCAATTAGTTCACACATAGTGTATTGTATTTGTATCCATGCCCATTGCCCAATATACATTTAGAACACAATAGAAGAAGATCCATGTATCACTTCCATCATGTTCTGGTAATGTGTATGCACTATTCTATCAATACTAGAGATAGGATATGGAAGAGGTTTCATACGCTGTAAATCCAACAGCTCGTAACATTAAGAGTAGAAATCTGGCCAGTAAAAGTTGTTTTGTTGATGTGGTTGCATGATTTTGCAACAAAACTTACCCATTCCACTTATATAGATCAGATCGCAACACAATACAACAATATCAACCTCCTACAACTCATAAGTCAGGATCTGGGTATTATTCATTTGTAGCAGGATTTGTGACCACTACTAAAAAAAGCATTTTTACATGCGTTCAAAACTTATTTTTACAGTCGTCCATAACCTCCGCCTGCAACCAAACGCCGTAGTAAAATGTGTGCCTACTCTGATCAAACTCATTCACTGTGCGAATTTAACTGATGCACTCGCCAAAGTTAGTTCGAAATTGGTTTCTTCCAATCCCCCATCACTACTAGAAAGACGATTTTTTATGGCATTTGGAAAATATTTTTTATGGCGGCTACGAGAAAAAATCACCAGCGTAGAAAATCGGGGGGTGGGGGGTCACGGGCCGCCAGTGAAAACCGATTTTCGCTGGCGGCCACATTAAGAGGTCCGCTATAAAAACTACTATATTTTTCGGGCGGACCTCTTAAATGTCCGCCAGCGAAAATCGGCGTTTTCGCTAGTGGCTGCTAAAGAGATCTGCCAGAAAAAAAAACAGATCCGCCAACGAAAAGCAAAGCCTCACTAAAAAATTTTGGCGGCATTTAAAACCATGCACACGAGATT